ACTAGACAAACGGACCACACACTGGAGCTCCATAATTACCTTTCCACACGCCGGAGAGAGAGGGAGTCAGCATTTACAAGCCTGCCCCTCCTGTCTGACTTCTTAATTAGAGGCCAGAGGCACAAAAGCAGCCACATTAACAACTTTTTCAGGAGGAACTTGAACTGTCCACTCTTTAAATAAGCAAAGATTAGTTATTTATATGAGTCGAAACTCTTATTTGTTGCATTTAACCAACACAAACACGGGAGAGAAGCGACTTCCTGGTCTATTCAAACACCTGTCAAAGACACAAAAAGGTTTAAAACAGTTAATATCCCACTAAAGATGTAAATGAGCCTTTAACGGAGCACCTTGTAGAAATCTAAGTCGCGTGAGAGGTGAAAGGCAGCCTTTTAAATGTATGTCTGTCGTTTAGTTTTGTTTTCCAGGAAAAGGTGAGGTTCACCTGTCGTTAATGATTAAACCTGTCCAACACAAACGCGCTTTTACGCGCGACACGCGGGCCGAGAACGAACAAAAAGCACCATCAAACATTCAGTAAAAGTTCTTTTTATTTTCAAAATATAATCTTCTATCAAAGTGGAACTTGTACATATTTACATCCTGGAAGAATCCCATATACAAATGTACAATATCTACACCAATAATTATATAAATACACCTTTTTTTTTTTTGCGCGCTTATATGCAACCCGTATGAGGCAGTGTTAAGGCATGATTCGTGGACGTGTAAATCCACTCCGAGGACAAAACGGCCTCATTGTGGACGTGTGAAAGGAAGCTTTAGCTGTGGCGTGTCACATATCGAGGGGGGGGGGGATCAGCCCCGATAAGACTCCGCATTCTCCGCGCCAGGTACATTGTTCTCTCCTCATTTAAAAGAGAAGCCATTAGGCGCTCATTAATGTGCTAATTACAACACGCTGATGGACAATCCCAACACAATTAGTCACCCCCCCTCCCTCTCATTCTCTATTCAAACCCACGGACGTCATTTGGATAAGGCAAAAAAGCGAGAGCTCCGACTCATTTGACAACTTTTTGCGCAAAAATCCGAGGAATACTTCACATTAGTTTCATTTAAAACTGGCATTTTGGTGACATCGTTTCAATAATTTACCAAATAAAAAAAACATTCATTTCAGTCTTTCATTCTATTTCCCCCAAAGAGCTGATGCACCTCTTTTTATATATATATATATATAAAAAAAAGTATTTAGTGTCAAATGACAGATAAAATGCATTCGTGTTCAGCCACTGTCCGCGTTCACGTTTACGCTCACGCGTGCGCGCTCAGACCCGGGACAGGGGCATCTGTTTGGGGCAGGACACGGAGCTGGCCGTGCCGGACCTCCAGGTGAGGCCCGTGCTCACGTCGCTGTACATGGACCCGGCCGAGGCCGCTTTGCTCCCCCAGCAGCAGCGCGTGCAGAAGCTCCTCCACGAGTCCAGGGTCTTCCCGGACCAGACCCAGGCCCCGGACGTGATCCCCACCAGCAGGCACATGAAGTACTTGAGCATGAACACGGCGTAGTCCGGCCGCTGCCTCCCGGGGTCCGCCGCGCACCGGCAGTTGTGCGTAATCTCCCACGTCTGCCGGTTGTGCTGCTCGTAGAAGTAGCACGCCACGATGACCGTGGCCGGGACCGTGTAGAGCACCGTGAACACCCCTATCCGGATCATCAGCCTCTCCAGCTTGTCCGTTTTGGTGCCTCCTTGCTTGATGACGCTCCGGATCCGGAACAGCGACACGAACCCGGCCAGCAGAAACATGGTGCCGATGAACAGGTAGATGACCAGAGGGGCCAGCACGAAGCCGCGCAGGTTGTCCAGGTTCTGGTTCCCCACGTAGCAGATCCCCGCCACCGAGTCCCCGTCCACGGAGCTGAGGGCCAGCGCGGCGATGGACTTCATGCTGGGCACGAGCCAGGCGGCCAGGTGGAAGTACTGCGAGTAGCTGGCGATGGCCTCGTTGCCCCACTTCATCCCCGCGGCCAGGAACCAGGTCAGCGACAGGATGACCCACCAGATGGAGCTGGCCATGCCGAAGAAGTAGATGAGGAGGAAGACCACGGTGCAGAGCGCGGGGCCCGTGGTCTCGTAGTGGATGTGCTCCGCTCCGCTCTCCCCGCCGCACGCCACCTCCTCGTGCCCGGCCACGAGCCGCACGATGTAGCCCACGGACACGAACAGGTAGCACGCGGAGAGGAAGATGATGGGCCGCTCCGGGTACTGGAACCGCTCCATGTCGATGAGGAAGGTGGCCACGGTGGCCAGGGTGGACACGAAGCACAGCACGGACCACAGCCCGATCCAGAAGGAGGTGAACGCGCGCTCCTCGCGCGTGAAGTACGGGCTGTGGCACGGCACGGCGCAGTTCGGGATCTGGCCCGTCTTGACGCGGTTGAGCAGCGGGTGCGCGCGCGCGTGCGCGTGCCCGTGCCCGTCGCCGCCGCCGCCGGTCACGGGCACCATGGGCGCGCGGCAGAAGCAGCCGCTCTCGCACTGGGACGCAGACCCCGGCCTGTGTTGTTTGCCGCCCTTCTTCCGGTACGGCTTCAGGGGCCGGTTGGTGGGTTTGGCCGGGGATGGGGCTCCGACCCCGGCCACTCCAGCCCCGGAGGAGACCCCCCCTCCGGTGGATACGGTGGTGGTGCTCTGGCTCCGGTTGTAGTCCATGCACAGCGTGTCCCGGTCCCCCTGCTCGGGCAGCAGGTCGCAGCGCATGCGGTCCGGCCACGGGAAGCCGTACTGGCGCATGAGCGGCGCGCAGCCGGCGCGCGCGCGCTCGCACACGCTCCGGCACGGCGGCAGCGGCTTCTTGTAGTCCTCCAGGCAGATCGGCGTGTACATGCTGCACAGGAAGAAGCGCAGGTCCGCGGAGCACTTGATCTCCACCAGCGGCCAGAACTGGTGCACCTCCAGGCCGGCCTCGTCCTGCGTGTCGTGGTGGAACTGGTTGGGCATGTAGGTGCGGTTGTAGCCCACGCCCCGGCACAGCGGCACCGAGATCTCCTGGCACCGGAGCTCCTTGGCGGTCGCGCGCACGGAGAGCAGCGCGAGCAGCGCGCACAGTCCCGCCAGGCTCCTCCGCTCCATCTGTTTGGCTTCAGCTCCAGCGGGGTAAAAAGTAAAAAATGACTTGACAAAAGCCAGTCCAAAAAGTGACTGGACTGGCGGTGCGTTGGAGGTCCTATCGACCCGGGACCGGTGCCGGACTCATGCTAACGCACGCCGGCGCGCGCGCACAGACTGTCACGCTTTCCGGGGATAACACGCGCAAAAAACAGTGGCTCAGTTAGGAGCTCCTTTGTGAGTCTGTTGCGTTACGCACGGCTTCGCCTGCTCTGTGGCTCAGGGGCGCGTTGCCCTTTTTATATCCGAGAGGAGGAGGAGGAGGACACCCCCCCCCCCCCCCCCCCCCCCCCCCACCTCCCCCTTCCTCCCCCTCTCCTCCCCCACCCGGAGCGGGAACTCAGAGCACGTCAATCGAGTCAAAAAGTTCCCTCTCTGTGGGTGTTGGTTGAAAAATGCTCGCCCTGGAGGAAAGGTTATAGTCCCCAGCTCCGTGTTTACGTTCAATCTAAAGCCTTTTACAAGCTGTGCGCGTGCGCGCGTGCACGTGCGGGTGTGTGTGCCGGGGTGGAAAGGGGAAGGAGGAATACAATGGACACATTATGGGAGAATGTAGTTAGTTAGTTAGTTAGGCACGCAAACGGGAGAAAGTTAACCAACAGGTCAGTGGATGCAACGGGAAACGGACCGTGAACGCATCATTGGTGTAAAATATCATAACTCAGGAGGAGAAATTCAACTCTAACCTGAGAGGGATTGTGGTGGCACGTGGCATGTTATGTTCTGGTTGGATTGTGAGCGGAGTTAGGGGAATATTTGACATCTATTGCTGGACAGAAGCAAAAATAGAGAGTTCTTTAAAACTAAAACTCAGTCGTTTAGCTGAGTTGTCGTTTTTACCTGTGAGGGAATCTGCTGAGTCATTGTTCTAGAGCAGGTGGAACCACCAGCTCAATGCATCCATCCATCCATCCATCTATCGGCCCATCCATCCATCCATCCATCCATCCATCCATCCATCCATCCATCCA